TGATAAGATAAGATAAGACTCCCTACTAATAATCCATACTACTGAACTGATAAGATAAGAACACTGAATAGATAAGACTCCTACTAATCCTTACTACTGAAAGCAGATAAGGCAAGAATACTGAATAGATAAGATAGGATGAGAACACTAAATTGCTGTTGCTGAGAACACTAAATTACTGCTGCTGCTGCCGGCGTCCACATCACACTGTCCAAAGTTGGTTTGATCTATTTTGCAGCCCTACATCTCAAGACAAGTATAATACAATCCAGAAATACAGGCCAAAGACCTATTGTTGCCATCTAGAATAAATGGTTTTGCATTTAGATCTAGATCTAGAGAAGAGGCTCATACTTTTTCTTTTTCGTGTTTGGGTGGGGGGGGGGGGGGGGGGGGGGTGAGACTGTCAGAAATCTGACCTTAAATGAATAGAAAAGGTAAAAGGTGTACAACTTGAAGCTACAATATAACATATGGCATGCTCATTTACGTGTGCACACACACACCTGTAAGCACGTTGTGATGGTACCAAAACATACAGGGCATATAGAATCCATAAAATCAGCTGCAGAAATAGTTTCTATCCATTTCTTGAATATTTCAAATCCAATGAAGCTTGCAAGGGTGCAAATAAATCTGAAGATATCCTCTTACCTTTATGTTTTTCCTCTTTTTTCTTCACTTTTGTTTTTGAGAAGGTAATCAGATGATGCATGATGCAAAGGCACTGATATTCAAAGTTCATTTATGAGAATTCTAGAGAGAAGAGTCTCAAGTCCATCACTCGATTTGCAGCCTAAATTTGAGGAGTCAAAACCTGCAACTTTGGCTTGATTTGGTGTATGTTATTTGCTTACCTATCAACAAGACCTAAAGAAGGCAATTCAGACCTGAACTGAGAGTGAGTTGTTGTTTTAAGAACACCCAAGAAGTCCATGACATGATTCTCTATTTTTAGGTTATTTACGTTTTTAATTAGAATTTATACCTTTTAGGATTTACTTGGGCAAATATTTGTTTTACAAGTTTCTTTTTTCAAATTTCATGTCAAACTTGTAATGAATATAAGTTGAAGAGTTTTAAGAAAACTGTCTACATAAAATCCACAATATTCTTGTAGAAGAGAATGACAAATATTGAGAACAAAACTTTGCCTTTCTGATATTTTTTTTTGGATTTTGAGAGAGATGTTCAAACACTTTCCTTTCATGAAACTCAATTGAGGACCTTGTATTGAGTTTAGTATGAGTTATGACAGACTCCACACTTCTTCCATAAAGGAAGCTGTGGCACCTCTATCTATGTATCTTTCTTCAATATACCCAACTTCTCTTCTTTATTTACCATTATTCTATTTATAAGAGATCCAATCAACCCCAAGGCTGTTTTACATCTCCAGAGACTCTCTCTCACTCTCCATGGAAATTTATCTTTTCTCCTTAAAAAGGTGAATCAGCATGAAGTCAATGTTGAAGGGATTGAAAGGAACTGCCTAGATAAGCCCAATCTCCAAAGCTGTTAACTATGCCAGGTAAATAGGGCCTATAAGAACTTTCCCTCCATAACCAGTGTAGGAAACTGTGGACCCCACATTAGTGTACTCGTGTGGCAGCCTGAGTTGTACTTAGATTTAATTAAGTAATTGATTAGGATCAGCTTTCCTAGTAGGATTAGTTTTAATCTTATTCTATCTTATCTAGGATTAGTTTTTAAGTATCTTATCTTGCCATGTAAGCATTAAGTTCTTTTACAATTAGGAAACTATGTATATAAATTCAAAGGGTGGGGTGGCTGTTTTATTACACCAACCACTCTCTTCTCTCAAAAGTCCTTCCACGAGTTCTCCCTCTCTATCTCTCTTCTTCTCTTCTCCTCTTCTCTTCCTTTCTTTTATTTTCTGTTCAAAATCTAAAGAATATCTGTAGTCTTGTACAACTACTTGGTATTGGAGCCAAGATTA